AAACTGAACTTCTCATTCATCTCTTATTCACGTTATTATCCCCAGGATTTTAATTAGCTGTAATTCAGGAGTATTGCTTAATGGATGAGGATGAGATACAGACTAACAAAATTCTCACTGGTGACATCCTGGTCACTAGTCAAACTCTCAGTTTTTCAGGAACCATAGTGGAAAAATACAAAGAAAAGTTTAAGAAGAAAGCCAAGAAAGAAAAATGTATTAAGAAAATCTAAGATGCCACGATTATATAGTTCAAAGGATAAATTAATAAAAGAGAATAACATATACAAAATAACAGTGGGTACAGTGAGGACAAGTACACATATGCAAAGATTGACGTAGTACAAGAACTGCATTAGCTGCAGAAAACTGAAAATCTGCTAATTAAAAGCAATTAAATTATGTGCCTTATTGTACATACTGTATCACAGGCTTCACCGTGACACGGACTCCAGCAGTTTGGTGGGATATGGAAAGGGATTAGGTGGCTGCCTATTCTGCAGTTACTCAGCAGAGTCCGGAAGACCACATTATCTTCTGCTTTAGGGCACCATAAACTCGAAGCTCATTGTTTTGAGACTTTGAAGAGAGGAAAGGGGAAACGCCACGGGACAAATCACTTGCTCAAGGGCACGCTTCTAATGCAGAGAGGCACCGCTGGGACCCAAACACCTGACTCATCAGAATCAGCCGCACTATTTAAAGCCAGAAAAGTCACACAGGAATCTCAGCCACGCGCTGATGGAGAGAGCTGGCCGCCCTCCCGACACGGATGTCCCACGATTTGCCCCGCTGAAGAGGCCTCGTGGCGCCTCTCGTTCCGCACCCTGCTTCCCTTGCCCTGTACCCCCGGCAAGCCCCGGCTGGACGAAACTCCACGTCCCACAGGGAGGCTGTTCGTCTTCCCAAGCCGCGGAGCCAGGCATTTCCCGCGCCGCTGCGGGGCTGCTCCAGAGCGCCGAGCCCATCCGGACCGGGCACAGCCGCGGCCGTGCGGGCGAGGGCGGCGGGGCCGGGCCGGCGGGGCTGCCCTGCCCCGGCTCCCGGCGGCGGCTGTGCCGGACCCGCGGCACGAATCCAGCCCCCGCCCGCCTCCCGGGCACTCACCCTCCGGCGAGCAGGTGGAGCAGCGTGCTGTGCTCCGACATGGCCCCGCAGCTGCCGCCCGCGCCCCGGCCCCGGGGCCGGCCCCGCCGCAGCGGCCCCCGCCCGCCCGGAGGAGGCGCCCGGGCGGCGGCAGCGGGAGGGGCGCTGCGAGGGGAGCGCGGCTCCTCCGGGCAGATGCGCAGCTCCTCTGGCCTGGCCGCTCAAGGCGCTTCCATTAAAAACAAACTAACAACCCCCTCAAGCCTCCAAGCCGACCCCCAAACTTAAACAAACCCGACTTTGTTTTGCAAGTAGGGGAGCCAAGGCAAACTGTTTTTTTTGATCACAGGAAAGAAGGGGTCCACGAGCAGAGCAAAGTCGCTCCTGACGCTCGTCCTCGCTCATGGGACCACGGATGCTTCTTCGGATGTTTGGGTTCACATGAAAATGGGCCAACGCTCTCCACAAAAACCCCCAAATCTCTAAATAAATTAGACCCATGACTGAAGTTCGGAGGATCGGTGTGAGAAAGTCAAGGAATATTCACGGGTAAAAGATCCTCTGTTGCTTTTTCAAATGCACAGTTTCAGAGCACATCAGAGTTCATTGAATATCATCTTCCTTAAAAAAAGCAGAACGTACATCAACATGATGCTGTTGCCAAAAAGGCACACATCAGATCAATTTATGTGTTTAGGAGGATAGCCTGTAGGTCAGATAAAACAAGCTGTCAGAACAGCTCTGTCCTGCTGTGACTTCACTCACAGCACTGAGTGACACAGGACTGACTGCCCAGTTTGGGTACCACGATGATACAACAGAGACAAATGTGGGAAATGAATCCACAGAAGGGAATAACTAACTTGGCCACTCAAGCAGAAGGATTGAAAAAAATTGCAGCCTTTAGTTTGGAGGAGAAGGAATTAAGGGAGGCATGACAACTGAGTCCAGTTAAGTACAAAGTTACTTTGAAAAGGAAATTAGTACCTTATCTGTGGTGGAAAAGAACAGAACTATCAGCTCATGAATAGTGCCTGTCAGTACCCGGGAAATGAGGGGAAGACCAGTAAAAAGACTGGCTTTCTGCTCTGTGAAACTGGAAACTGGTCAAAGATACCTAGAAGCTCCAAGCATTTTTCACTTGTCTTCACTGTGGTGGTGGCTAGGTGGATATTGTAAATAGTATCAGCTGCAAGTGGGGAAAAATGTCATTCTAGATTACTAAGCACTTGGGCAAAGTCAAGGTTTTCAGACCAATTAGGGCTGATGAACTTCATCCTATGATGGCTGGAGAACTTGAGAATGGCCCACTGGCCATTATCTTTGAGATATCTAGACAACAGAGAGGTTCAGAAGACTGGAAAAGGCAAAATATATTGACCATTTAAAGAAAGAAAATATGATTAATTACTGGCTAGCCAGCATCATTTTACTGCCTTCCCCTGTGATATTGGAACACATAAATATTATGTAGACAACTCAGGTTTTCCATTTGCAAAAAGAAGAGCTCAAGTTAAACCAATCTTTCATGGCAGACTTGTCCTTGTGGTCAAGGAAGTAACAATAGATGTTAATTTTTTTATTTCAGTAGAATTTTTACTCTCTTTCGTCTCACAGCCTAACAAGCCCATTAGGGAACATGGGAAACTGTATCTACTGAAATCACTGTTGGGAGAGTCTGATGCTGACTGGAAAATTCTAAGATTAGTTTTTGATGCTGTGCTGTCTATCTGGAAAGAAGTATTAAGGAGTCCTGCAGAGATCTGTTTTCAGTGTGCTATTAGTGGGGCTTTTTCAGTAATTTATACAGTGGAGTAGAAAATTGTGTCTATTAAAATTTGCAGACAGCATTAACCTGAGAGGGGTAGTAAAGGTTTTGGTATAGAAAATTTATATACAAATAACCTTGATCAATGGGACAAATAGCCTGAATATGTAAAACACCATTTAATTAAAGCATGTGCTAAGTTTTGCACATGGAAAGAAATAATGAATTTCACAAAGTTAAGATGGGGAATAATTAGACAGAGACCTCAGTTTTGTCACTGGTTTCCATCAGGCCCAGGACCTTCAGCAGAGTATTGGTATTCAGAACAGTTAAGGATGCACAGCCAGGAACAGCCTTTTCAGGAGCCGTACTGTTTGCTTCTCTCATCTCTCCAAGAGTTATTGGGGCCCTCTGACATTTTAGTTCTTGCTGCCAAATTATTTACACTTCACTAGCAGGGGTGCATTGACTCTACTTCTTTTCCTGTTGACTTTAGACCAGCCCCTTTTCTTTCTGCCTGCAAACAGAAATAGTTGTTGCCTTCAGCAGGATACTTATCCATTAACAACTATAGCTGTAGTTATCCTGGATGCTCTGCCAGCACTGCCACTTCTGGTCCTTCCAGTTACATCAAAGTCTTTTGAGACTCTAAGGGATAAAGGGCCATCCAGCCCTTCAGAAGGAAGACTGTGGGGGCTTTTTTTATAGAGCAGTGTTTCCCTGTCCTGAACCAGAAGGCCAAGATGGTGTCATAGGCATACCCCAAAACCTTGTTGCAAATATTTACAAATCAAAACTACTTCATGTCTTCCTTCCTGCTCAGTCTGTGATGGCTTTTGGATTTCTGTCCATGCCTTATCTCAATGCCTACACTCTCCTCCTCCATGCCTTTGTGTGGTCTGTTGGTTTTACTTAGGAGCAATGTTGCCCATCTCTTCTTCTTGAAAGTAGTTTGGGATTCCGCCCAACGGCATTCTCCATCCCTCTCTCTTCAAGTGCTCTTGCTAACCCTTGATCACACTGAGCATACATAGGACTGGCATTTGTTAATAGCAGGTGAGTCCTATTTTAACCTTCCAGGATGCCAGAAGTGTGCTTTCAAAATGAATCTTCCAGTAATCCCTACTTGCTGGGCTGGGGTTTGTCCTGCAAACAAGATTCCTTTTTGGTGGTGCTAAGCTGAACATAGGGCACACCTCATGCACATGAACCACTAATTGGTGCACCATCCATGAGGCCAAGGAAGACATAGTCCAAAGTAAAGCTCCACGAGGATGTTTGGTGTGGATGTTGTATTTCCAGCCCCAATTCTTATAATTTCAAAGGTTTTCTGCTGTTGAGCCATACATACTACTTGCTAGCACAGAACCGGCTGTAGATGCCACATGCATGTCAAAGCTGTAAGGAGAGCAGGCAGGAAGACCTACTGTCAAAGAATTGTGTCTAAAACTGCATCAGATGTCACTCTTTGGACAGATGAAGTGAACCTGACAAATGTGAAGAGGACCCTGCAGAGGAGCATATTCCTTTGAAAAGAAGAAGATGGGATTTGATTCCGAAAACAATTTATTTCTAGCACCCTAATGTCACGGGAGGCAGCACACATCATGTACCCCCCTCTTGGTGCTTTTCCCATTCTCTTATATGCTACACACAAATGACCTCTGATTTTCCAGGTGGTTTATCCTTTGGAACCGCGAATGTAGAATGATCAAGGCTGGGAAGGAGTTGATATTTCTATGGCTTATCTGAAGGTATCACATACTTTTCAGCTAAATGTATGCACTCTCAACCTGTGGCTGCCAGCTGCAGCATTTTAGTGATCCCAGAGAAAACAGTAAAATACCATCCATCAGCCGGACAAATATGTACTTATACAGGATATGCTCATCTACGCATATATACCATATACATCTCGTTAAATACGTATATATGGATATATATATTTATGCAGTCACAATTACAACGAGATGTGTACGGTGCATACATGTATATATCTCTTGTATATATATACACATATATATACATACCATACACATCTCGTTGAATATATATATATATATATGTGCATACACATTTATGTGTATTTGCAAATACAATGGGGTAGATACATATACACACCGTTTCACGGCCAGCAGAGGGGCACACCCCTCCGGAGCTGCAGGAGCAGTGCGCGGCGGGGCCGCCGGCCGTGTAGCCACCGCAGGGACGGGTTCCGGCGGCGGGCGGCGACCCCGGCACTCAGCTCCTTTAAGGCGCTCGGGCGCCTGTCCCTTTAAGGCTGGCCCCGCCCCGCCGCGCGAGCCGAGCGCGCCCCGGCGGCCCCAGGTACGGAGCGGGCGGGGGAGCCCCGCGGCCCCTCCGGGCGCGGCGCCGGGCGGAGCGGGCCGGGGGACGGGGACCGGGGACAGGCAGGGCCGCGGAGCTCGGGCCGGGGGCCGCGGGTCGCGGCCTTGCTGTCCCGGTGCGCAGGCGGGTGGGTGGGTCCTCTCCCGGGCCGGGCCCGCGGGGGAGGCGGCGCTGGCGGGTGGCAGCCGGGTCGGGGTCGGGCGGTCGCTCCGCCCGGCGCTCACCCGCTGTCTGTGCCGCCCCGGCGCCAGGTGCAGGCGCGGCGCGGTTCGACGCCGACCCTCTCTCCCTCCGTGCCTGGCGCCATGGCCATGAGGGAGCTGGTGGAGCCGGAGTGCGGGGGCTCCAACCCCCTGATGAAGCTGGCGGGGCACTTCACCCAGGACAAGGCCCTGCGGCAGGAAGGGCTGCAGGGCCCTCTAGCCTGGCCTCCCGGGGCGCCAGAAGCCGCCGCCGTGAGTACTGCTCTGCTTGCTGGGCTGGCTCTGGGTCCTGCCGGGGGCTGGGAGTGAGCAGGGCGAGGGGATCTCGGTACAGCTGGTGTCCTGTTGTGCTTTTTCTGGAAAAAGGCCCAGGAGTCACCCGAAGCAGCGCTGTAGGGTGAGGGCACGTTTGTGGGCACTCAAGGGATGTTGGTGGCTGTGCTGAGCTGTGTGCCTTGCTGTCACAGGCCCTAAGCCACACAGTAGTGGGAGGGGGTTGGACAGGATCAGTCAAAGTGTTTCTGCTCCTTTAGCAGGCAGCTAGTGCAAGAAAATGTTTACATTGACAACCTCAAGGAAGAGGAAGATACAATCTAATTGGGTCACACTGTGTGTATGTAAAGAGGGGCCAGGGATCAAAACTGTTGACACAGTTGCCCACTATTCCCTGCAGGTATCCAAACCACTGGGAGTAGCCACCGAAGATGAGGTAAGAACAGTTTGATTCCTCTCCTTATAGCTTTTGATTAATCTTCTTAAAGCTTTTCTCATCAACACTGTTTCTTGTTTTACCCCTTATCTGATGCTAATATTTTCTTCTGACAAGCCATTCTTTCACACTCCATGGCTCTCTGCCTGTTGATCTTCTGTGCAATGTTTGTAATCCGTCTCTGTCTTTGGCAGCTGGTTGGAGAGTTTCTGCAAGCTCAGAATGCCCCTTTGCTGTCCCGTGCACCCCAGACCTTTAAGATGGATGACCTGTTGGCTGAGATGCAAGAGATTGAACAGTCAAGCTTCCGACAGGCCCCTCAGCGAGGTGAGGGGAGCTGAAGTAGGTGGAGAACTAGAAAAGATCTTGGTGTTATGGTTAAGCTCCTAGCAGGGTGGTTCCCATCTGTTGAGCTCTTCTGAGATTGTATCTGGAGTATTGTTTCTGGATTTGGGCTTCCCAGTACACTGATCTACTGGAACAAGTTCATCAGAGATCAATGAAATATTCAGGGACAGGAATCCCTGTTGTAAGAGGAAAGGCTGAGGGAACTAGATGTTTTAATCTGGGGAAGAGGAGTCTGAAGGGCAGGGGACAGAATGTTTTATTGCTGTCTTCAGCAGCTATGGTCAGGATCTTTACTGGAATAGTCAGGAGAAGGACAAGGGGTAATGGACATAATTTGTGGAAGGAAGAACTGACTGTATTTGGAAACATTTCTTCACTTGGAGGAGGCAGTTAGTACTGGAACAGGTATCTAGGGAGGCTGAGGAATTGCCAGTCATGGACAAATTCAGAAGTTACCTGATGAATGCCTGGAACAACCTCATCTCTTTCATGTTAACTTTCATGTTAACCTGTTGTGAGAACTCTAGCAACCTCCAGAGACTCCTTCCAAGTGAAATATTTCTGTGATGTTATTCTAACAAAGAGAAAGGTCAGAGGTGGTTAGGGCTGGCCTGGAACACATAAATTATGCCTTTGAGTGCTCCAGTCCTCACTTCTGTTTTTTTTTCCCTCATGTAGCTCCAGGTGTGGCAGCCCTGGCACTGTCTGAAAACTGGACCCAGGAATTCTTGGCTGCTGCAGATAATGCTGGTGATGTCTCTTCAGATTACAATGAGGCTGACTGGTCACAGGAGTTCATTGCTGAAGTGACAGGTGAAGTGTCCTTTTTCGGAATTACTGTTAAGATGATGTCCTATCCCATTTCAGTCACACGCCTGTGTATAGTGAAGAGCTACTGAATGTGAAATTGGAGTATTGCTTTGGGTCCAGGAGTGTTTCTTGTAGCAGCTATAATGGGGTGGAGGGTAGGAGAGCTGCTTTGTGATGGTGTTATGGTTAAGTCAAATTATGAGCAATGTGGTGTGGAAGCTTTTATTTAGGTGTAAGGGACTTTTGTTTCTAGGGAATTTAGGAGAAGCATGGTATTTAAATTGCTTTTATAAAAATTATGATTCAACTGATGCAAGTTGGAGATGGCCTTGTACTGCTTCTTATTTACATGTTTTCTAATTCCCTCTCATAAGGTTAAATTTGACTTTGGTACAAAGGTAAATATTCTTTAGTGTGCTTTGGCCAAATATTTTCTGTCAGTTTTATGAAGGTAGAGGGGTGTTACAGCCTGGAAATGTGCAAAGTGAGTGTTTCTGGCCCAAAGGTTAAGCTTTGAAAAACCATCCTGCGTTGTGTATAGAACTGGGTCTGGAATAGGGTCCTGTTACCATCCATGCCTTAATCTGGAAATTATGGAAAAGAATAAAGTAGTTGCTGTTTTCTTCTCCAGGAGTGGCCACTGTAGAAAGCTGGGTAGCCCTACTCTTGGACCTTCACTCTTTACATTTCTGGGAATATAAATTGGAAGTTGCAAAGGTCTTTTAGAAAGTTCTGATGAAAACCTAGTGCTTGTAGGCTGTGCTTTTGACAGAGACTTGTAATGCATTGCTAATTTTCTTGACCTACATAGTATCCCCCAGGGAGCAGATGAATAAGTTGTGATATTAAAGTAGAAAATCGTAAGTTTATTGTCACCACAGTGGCATCTGTATTAATTCACTGTCTGAACCAAAGGCTTGATTTTTAGATCAGAATAAACAAAAGTAGAAGAAGTGAGCATAAACAAAGGTGTGGTAGTCTGCCTGTCTTACTCTTCTTGTTCTTCCTTTGCAGATCCACTGTCTGTGTCTCCTGCCAAGTGGGCAGAAGAATACCTAGAGCAGTCAGAGGAGAAACTGTGGCTTGGGGAATCAGAAGATCAGTCTTTGGCAGATAAATGGTGAGTGTGACTTCTCAAGGCTAGCTGTTGCTGCTAGGCACTTAGGTGGGTGAGGTTTGGAAAGGTGATAGAAATCTGCTATGGCTTGAATGCTTTTGAGTCATTTAGCTTAGACTAATGTTCTCAGGCCTTTGGTTTTAGAGAAAGGAGGAAACAACACTTGCAAACTGAAGTTTTTAAGAGAGTGTAGCTTTTCTGTTCTCTAGTTCCAGGAAGAAACACTGATCCTGTAGGCTAACTTAATCTCATTCCTGATGCAAAAGCCCTTAAAGTAACTTCAAGAGTCAGTTCAGGAACTTTTTTTCTGCAACAGATGCATTTTGCTAGTCTCTACTTGTTATAAACTTTCATAATGTAATTCGTCCTATCTGACAAACAGCTTCCAGCCTTTCCTTGACATATTTCTAGGTTCAGCTTTCTGCATGTTATTTTAATGTGTTTTTTTATTGTAGATTAAGGATGGATCATCTCTCTGTAGGTACCTATTAAGTACAATCAAATTTTTCAGTTAAAGGAGCAAAACACAAACAATTTGGGCTTCTAAGGTCTTTCCTTACAAAAATTTTGTATATTTGGATTCTCGTTGCACCTGGCTTTTGCCTTCTCTGATAGCTTTCTGGAAATAATGGACATTCCCGAGTTATTGCCACCAGTTCCAAAGACTTCCCCAAGACTGAATGTAGTGGTAACACCTAGAAGTGGTCCTATCCTGTTGTAAGCCAGACAAGACATTGAGTTGTCTTTGCTGTAAGCCCTCAATCCTCTGCAGAGCTGATGCTTTTCCAAGGCACTGTTTTCCTCTTCAGTGGGCATGACCTACTTTCATTGTTCCTGGATATATGACCTTGTTTCTGGTAGTGCTAAAACTTGCAATGTCTGATGGCATGTGAGCTTGGCAAGGAATCCAGACTGCTCTGCAGAACTGTGCTGACTCTAATTGTTTAATTCTGCTGCTATTGGTGTTAGTCACTTGTGCAACTAACGTAGTAGTAATTTTGAATTTTTACAGATGGATAATGGTACTGAATCACATAGGAGAAACCCAGAATCTTTGAGGAGGGATTGTATCCCTCAATACTGTTGTCTGCCCCATTGTGTAGATTCTTGTTAGTGAAAGTGTTCGCTGTTGCCTGGTATCAGACTCTCTCTGTCTTTTACTGCCTTGGAACACAGGTATGAGGAATATCAACCTGAGGATGACCTCAAGAAAACTGTTACTGATTTCCTCTCCAAAGTGGATGATCCGAAACTCAAGAATACTGAGGTGAGAAATCTGACTGGGGCTGAGATTAATTATTACTGTGAATTAGTAATTGCATAAATAGTAGTAATTATATTACTGTGAATAAAGGGTGTGGAGAGTTGAGAAGGGTAAAGATAGCAAAGGGATAAAGCCTCCTGTTGTCTCATGTTTCCATTTCTTCCCTGATTCCTGGGAGTTGAACCTCACAATCCCCTGTAGATATTATCCATCTCCACTCTTGTGAAGTCCGGTCCTTCCCACCTTTCTGGACCTTTTGTACTCACTCTGCAGAGAGAAGCCCTCTTAGTGAAGGAGGGGGGCATGGGCTGAGGGCTTGTGGGCACAGCATCTGCCCAGCTCCACCCTTGTTTCATTTCTCTGCCGCAGTTCCTAAAGTTTGTCCGCCAGATCGGAGATGGGAGGGTATCGATCGAAGCTAATCAGGTGACCCACAGAGACCAAGATCAGGCAGAGCAATGGGCAGCTGAGTTTATACAGCAGCAGGTAGGAGCCCCAGGCCTGTATGCTCTGAAGGAAGAAAGCATTTTGCCGCAGTGCACAGTCTGGGAGCAAAGGAAAATGGCGAGTCCAGCCCTCAGCAATGCTGAGGGAGACAAGGGAGGGGCTGTTGGGCTCTTAGCAGAGTCTAGACAGAAGCTGGGAATGTATTTGGACAGTTCGAATTTTCTCATCTCCCACAGCATCTGTGAGGAAGAGGAGATTCAGATGAATTCGTTTCCACTTCATAGGCCATCAGATCTTACTGATGGGGAGGAAGGGTCATTACAGACTCTCCTGCTGTTTTGGGATGTGCCCTGAGGTTGCCAAATTCTGAAAAGAAAGGTGTGTTTCTGTTTCCAAACTCCCAGGGGGCATCCGATGCCTGGGTGGATCAATTTGCGCGATCTGGGAACATGTCAACTCTTGATACGGAATTTGAGCAGGCAAAGGCTGCTGTGGAGGTAAAGCTGGCTGAGAAGGAGGGCTGGGGTGCCAACTGAGAGCCCATGGTAGGGTTACCTCTCTCCTTTGCATGCTCTGAGGAGGGCTGGAAACATCCAGGAGGGAGTTCTCTGGCATGACTATAGATCTGAGGTGGCTGAGGTACTCTAGTCATGCTTTGTTCTCCCTTCAGTCAGATGTGGAGTTCTGGGACAAACTCCAGGCAGAATGTGAGGAGATGGCCAAGAGAGATGCAGAGGCTCACCCTTGGCTCTCTGAATATGAAGACTTCAACTCCTCATCGTACGACAAGGTAAGGGAGAACAGAATCTCTCAGCTCTAGCACTGTGGTGGGCTGCCCTGGGGAGACTGACAGCGTGTCTGCCTCACTCTGAGCTCCACAGATCCTAAATGCTGCTGGGATTCCTTCTCACACTGATGCTTTGCTGTCCAACATCAGCTAGGGGTTAAATACCGTTTTCACTTGGGCTTGTCTGCAAGTGTTGTCTGGTTCTTGTCCAGCACCACATACCAGTGAATACAGGGGTTCTTTGCGATGAGTTCAAGTGTTGTGTCCCCTGGCCCCATCCCTGCCCCTCTCCCCCGTTCCCCTCCAAGCTAATAAGATCCATACTAAATGTTTTGTCTCTCTAGCAACTTATTCCAGGTCTGGTTTGGGGGGGGGTTTTCCAGCATGGAGCAGACAGGAAGAACCACCCTTGTTCTCTGATCTGCTACAAATTAGCAATGAGGATGAGGTGCTGGCTAGTCTGCAGCTTGAGTATTCCCGGTGCAGCAAAACAAGACTGTGCTGTGCTGTAGAATGCTCTTCTTCCTAAGCCTGTGTTCTAGCTGTAGCCTCTGTGTGTCTGTCTGTCCTGTTAGGGTTACCAGTTTGAGGAAGACAATCCCATGAGGGATCACCCGGATGCATTTGAAGAGGGGCGGAAACGCTTGGAGGAAGGTGACCTCCCCAATGCTGTCCTGCTCTTTGAGGCTGCAGTGCAACAGAAGCCAGACCATATGGAGGTGAGTGGCAGAAGAGAAAACGGGCTGAGCTGTCAGGGCAGGTGTAGAAAACTCCCTTCAGTGGTAGGACTTGTGCAGGGTGTATGAAAACACCTCATTTTTTTGCCTCTCTGAGTTTGTAGCTGATGTGTGTGAATCCTCAGGGAGCCTCTGAGGGAGAAGGTTTCTGACTTAAGGTCAGTTACAGGAAGCACAAAGTCGTCTGGCCCAGACTTATGTAAAGTCTTTGGAGCACATGAGACTGTGTGTGGAGCCAAGGCAAGGGGTTCTCCTCTCTCGAGTTGTTTCTGTGAAAGTCTTTATTGGCATTGTAAGTTTGGAGGAGCTTATGGTGGATCACTGCTTTCTGTATCTGTATTAAAATCTAATTCTGAGAAGCTCATTAGACTGGAGTTCTGACTTTTAGCTAGGTGCTAGGAAAAGATGTGACCCAAAAGGGTTGGGAGTTTTCAGTCTTAATTGAAGTTGTGGGCCAAAGAAGGATTTTTACACTGAAGACAGAGTTCCAGCTCCTTGTTCAGTGAATACTTTTTTCCATAAATCACTTCAGCTTCTGCAGGATGAATTGAGAAATGGAATAGCCTGTGTGCATTTTTTCCAGAGGTAGAGGACATGGATATTATTGGGAAGAATGCAAATGCACTCATGTGGTGCCTTTCTGGAGTGCCTGCCTCAAGGATCCAGGGCTGCTGAATTTTCAGCATGTCTTGTTCAAGCCCTGCTAATTATATATGACTGGACATACAAAATTTGATTACCCTGAGACTTAAATGAGAGTGATGTTTTGGAACAGAGGTTGTTGGCTTTTGGGAATAGCCATCTAACTTTCTAGGGTACTGGTAATAGGTGAAAAGTAATCAGAAGGTTTGAAGATCTGCCCTAGTTTTAAAGTGGTCAGAAGGTTTTAATGCCCTTCTAGAACTGTTGCTTTTTTCTCATACACAGTGGGCTGCAGGCTGAGCATGATGGAGAGGTAGTTGAAACCTAAGGGGAAGAAATCTTGGGCCATTTCTGGCTAGCTGTATTGGAAACATTCTGATTTCTGGCTAGCTTTACTGGAAACATTCTGAATTCTTCAGGGAAGAAATCTTTGGTCAATTCTGACTAGCTGTATTAACATTGTGAATTTTTCTACTGTGACTGCAAAAAGCACAGGAGAAGTCAAGACTTCACAAATGGTACGGTGATCAAATAGACATGAACAATTGCTCTGAAGGAAATGTCATGTTTGCTTTGGTCCAAGTCACAACTTTACCTTGAATCTCATCAGCTCTTTTGCTGGCAGAACGCTGCAGTTATCACTGGTCAGCTCTGCTTGAATTCTAGCTAGCTGTGTATGGTGAGGCATGAGAGATTGAAGGGAGTAGATTGCCTTCTGCAGGGTTTCTATTCTTTGCTAATGAAATAAATTTCTTCCTTGAGGCAGTGGGTACCTCATTTTGTGACTTACATTCAAAAAACAGGTACATCATGCTGACAATCCTGCCAACTATCTAGCCTATTTTGGAGCCAGGGGTGTGGCTATCAACATAAAGTGAACAGATACTTTGGATTTAGTGCCTAGTTAAATATTCCTTGTGTTAGCTGCTTGGAGGTGGAAGTCATTTTCATGTACTGGTGTCGTGATGATTGGAAATTCAGTAAAATTAACAGTGCTTCTACTTTCAGGTCTGAAAGTCAACTCTCCAAGGTTACTACTTGCTAGTGGACCACTGCACAAGTACATACAACTGCCTGCCTCGGGGGTCTCATTATTAGCACTGCTGCTATGCCATTTTGTTCTTGGGAAATAGGAGATCTGCATTTTCCTCCTTCCTCTGCAGTTTGACCACAGTTAGAAGTTAAAAGTGGAGATTCTGTGATCTAAAAGTGTAAAACTACCAACAGTTGCTTTATGATAGATTTCCAGGTAGACATTCACTTCTGTTCACTATAACAATGCCAATTTTATTGTCTTTGAGGACCTATGTGACATGACATCTGTCTATCTTTTGAGAGGAACTTACACCTGTGGCTAATGTGTATACTTTGGTCTATTTGATCGCACTCTAAAACTGTGCAGGATAATATACTGGATTTAATCTCTGTGTTTGTGGTTTATTGGCTGATTTTTTTTCCTCTGTAAGTCTGACTTTGTACATCTATGTCTTCCCCAGGCCTGGCAATATCTGGGAACCACCCAAGCGGAGAATGAACAGGAGCTTTTGGCCATCAGCGCCCTCAGACAGTGAGTGTTGCAGCAGAGCTGCTGGGCGTGGCTCCTTGCTGGCCACAAGGGCCATGTGGCTTTCACGAGGTGCTCTGTCTTGATTGTGTTGCCTCCTGTGTCTGGGTATCTCCTACACTGATTTATTTCCACATTCACTTCTCTTTCTTTGTCCTGTAGGTGCCTGGAGCTGCAGCCTGGGAACCTCACAGCACTTATGGCTTTAGCAGTCAGCTTCACCAATGAGTCCCTGCAGAAGCAGGCGTGTGAGACACTGCGGGACTGGCTGCGCCATAAACCAGACTATGCCCACCTGCTGAACAAGGAACCAGAGGAGGGTGTCTCAGGGACCAACCTGGGGCCTTCCAAGCGTGTCCTGAGTTCCCTGCTCTCTGAGTGAGTTATGGTTACAAATTCCAACCTTCAGCTGAAAGACTTCTTGGAGGGCTCAGACTAGTCCAGGCAGGAGCAGAGCGAGCAGCCTGAGTCCAACTCTCTCCACAGTACACCAATATCCTGTTCTGTGTTTTTCCAGCTCGCTGTTCATGGAGGTGAAAGAGCTGTTCTTAGCAGCTGTGCGCAGCAACCCCTCAACTGTGGATCCTGATGTCCAGTGTGGCCTGGGTGTCCTTTTCAACCTCAGTGGCGAGTACGAGAAGGCTGTGGATTGCTTCAGTGCCGCACTCAGTGTGCGCCCCAATGTAAGAAAGAGGGGTGGACTGGGGGATGCTGGAGGCACTTGGAGGTTTGTGGGTGAGGTTTTGAGTGGAGGTGCTGCATGTACGAGAGGTGCATATTTGGAGTGGAGGAATAAAACAGATGTATGGGGAAGGAGGGGTTGGCTTGGAGCTTACAGAGATCCAGTTCATCTCAACCCTTTCTCTGTGCCCCTTTCTCCAGGACCACCTTCTGTGGAACAAGCTGGGTGCCACTCTGGCCAATGGGAATCGGAGTGAAGAAGCTGTGGCCGCGTATCGTCGGGCACTGGAACTCCAGCCGGGATATATCCGCTCTCGCTACAACCTGGGCATCAGCTGCATCAACTTAGGTGCCCACCGGTGAGCACAGGATGGGCAACTCTGCTGTCACCCACCAGTTTGTGTGTGTTTGTGGGAGACAGACTGCCATGTGTTATGAGGGCAGAGTCACACTGCCCGCAGCCTTCTCTTGGCATAGGGGAGCAGAGCGAGTGTGTGGACTCTGCCCAGAGATCCAAGTGTCATGCAGTTACAGGTGGAGTAGAGGCCATCTGGACTCCTGATTCTTCTAGAGGGAACAGGGGGACCTCTGGTTCTGGAGCAGGGTAGGATCTAGTAAAGAGGAGGAAACTTTTGGAGGGGAAATACTTTAGAAGCAAATGGGGAAGGGAGTGTGAGATGTACCATCTTTTCCAGTAAAGATATGTATGTTCTCCTGTTGACAGTGAGGCTGTGGAGCACTTCCTGGAGGCTTTGCACATGCAGCAGAAGAGCCGAGGTCCACGGGGGCAGCAAGGAGCTATGTCTGACAACATCTGGAGCACCCTGCGCATGGCCCTCTCCATGCTGGGCCAGAGTGACCTGTATGGGGCAGCTGATGCCCGTGACCTGCCCACACTGCTGCAGGCATTTGGCCTCCAGCAGTGACTCTGGGATAGGCTCCCCTGTGAATGCAGTGGTTGCCTAGCCCAGCAATGAATGACCTTTCTTAGGGAGAAAATTCACAAGAGTTCACACAGATCTTTGCCCTGGTAGGGCAGATCATTGGCAACTGTTTATTTTTAAGTACCCCCCGGCAAAGTGTGCAACTTCCCCAACCTGTCTGTTGTGGCCTGAGCATTTCTGAATGGTTCACGTTATCACTTCCATGACAACTGACACTGCTGATTCACAGATGATCAAAGTGGGGAAGACAGCAGCGTCCTGCCCTCTTGCCAGACTGCATTTGCAGTACTGCCCAGCTTGACTGTGAGACTTTGACTATGAGAGCCGTTCTGCAGACTGCCTGCAAGGGCGCCTCTCAAGTTCAAGCTGCTTTGGAGGGGTGAGATTGCTGTTTCACCCGAAAGGGTGAAAAATGGTGGGGTTTGAGCATGCTTCCCTATGTATGTACTTGCATGTGTGCATATGTGGGTTGCTAGAGAAAACTGGGGCAGTAGTCCCCTTTTCTGGCCACTGGTAACTTCATGGTACAGCTAGATGCTACTTTCTCAGTGTCTCTTCATGAACCTTTTAAGACAAGAGTATTGTACTGATACCAGGGACGTGGTACTTGTCAGGGTAAAGGGATATCCCAGAGTTCATGCTTGAGAGAAGGTGATAGGAATAAAAGTCTAAAATGTAACCTCTCCCAAAATATGGTGGGGAAAGGGGTCAAGTCTTAATTTTCTCTTGCTCATCTGTCATTGTTTTCCTTTGTGCAAAAGTTCCCATCTTGTGTGTAACTGAATCTTGTTAATTATAAATATCTGTATATGATTCTATCGGGGAAAATGTTTTTTAATTGTAAAGTATTTTGTATAATAAAGGTATAAGCCCACTGCTTTTCAAAAGATAGATTAGACTATCTCTCTGTTTCTGCCTCCCCTTTTGACCCAGGTTTTACTTTATTGATAGCTCGCATTCAGATGAAGCTTAAAGGACCTCATTTTGCTGTAGCCCCAGGCTTCAGTTCAGTGAGCCAGCAGAAGAGCCTCTGTGTGCCAAAAGCTCTCTTTTTTCTTGCTCAGGTTTAGAGGTCAGTGACGCACTTTTTTTTTTATCTTCTGGCCCTCTGCAGTCAGTGAAGTCATATTACATTTTTTCACCCACTTAACGATCTGACTGCTGCAGTAGTCAAGGCTGGGGTCTTAAGCAGGAAGCACTGCCCCTTCTTGTTCCATCAGGCACCTGCTTCTTCATACCTCAACCTCACAAGCTTGTTTTTCTCTCACTGCTGGAGCAGCAAGTGTGTGCAGAGAATAGTATTTGCTGTATATTTTCTGGCCTTTATTTTCCCCTTTATCTCCCATCCAGCCCTGCGGCACTGAGACCAACATGTGCTGTTCTGAGACTGCTGTAGTGCATGCAAAACAACTGGCTGCTTTTGCTGTCTGAAAGGAAGGGAAATGCTACTGCTTTGTCCTGCTCACCCACACTGCTGGTCAGAGATGTCTTTTGGTTTTTACTTATCTCAGTCCTCTGTCAGATTCTTTGCTTGGTGAAAGAACGTTAATGCCTATGCTGAGCCTCACTTGCCGTCTAGTTTTCCCTTCCCCAGTTCTCTGCTGTTGCTCTCACCACTGATTTCCTTTGCCTCTTTGGTGCACCACGTTTCTTTCTGTTCATATTCCCATTACCATTGCTTGGCCTTCCCTTTTCCTCATCCTCAGATTTCATTAGTGTTTCTCCTCTCCTAGGTTTCCTAGTTGCCTCAATTTCCCTTGCAATGTCGCTTAACCTCTTGACTCTGTGTTGGCATCCTTCCCTATCCCACGTTTCCCCCTCTCCCTATGGGTAGGTTGGCTGTTACCATTTGTTCACTTTCCCTGGAAATTTTTCTCACTCTCTTCCCCCCGTCCCTGTTAAATCATCTCACAATATCTCTGCTATGCCTTTTGCTGTGGCTGAATCTTCTTCACCTAAGCACTAGTCCCTGTTTAGTCTCCCAGGGCTGAGTGCAGATTGAGCTGCCTCTGTTCAGGTCGTGTGTGACTGTCATGTGTCCAGGTCCTGTTAAGAGCTGCCTTTGGAAGTGGGGTGTTGATGCAATGTACACCAGCTGGCTGACTGGATCTGCATTCTGGTTCCAGTGCACAGTTTTTGTCTGTGCTCTGCATCCCTGTCTCTGGTGCCCAAACCCAGCTTGTGCTAGTGGTCTGTATTCATCATGAGTTTTTTGTTTTTTTAGTTTGCATTTCCAGCCACATCCATGTTTTTTGTTACTGAGCCCACTTGTACAGCAGGGGTGGGTAGCAGGTACCAAACATTTTCGATTCACATAAAGGCAGTGAGGGATGTTTGCATGTCCCTAATCCAACTCCTTGCTCACAACAGGCCGAACCCTAATGGTAGACTGGGGAGTCGAAGGCCTTATAAATGATCATGCTCTCCAATTTTTTTCACTTTTCCAGTGCACAGAACAGTGGCAAGGCATATCACCACTGAAAATTTGTAAGAGATCCCAGCATGGCCTTTACCAAATTCCTGGTCTTACAGGATGCAAACCAACCTTTCATAGAGCCATAAGTGAGTGGTCAAAAGAGGATAGTTCGGTGCATGTTTTTTCACCCATGTTTCTTGATATGTTTTTGCTGTATTGCTTTCTTCAGTGTCTTATTTTTTTGCTACTTAAGACCTCAAGAAGCCATAGAATGTCTTGGTAATGGCTTTAGCACCCAGCCAGAAAATGAAAATGTGCTTTCAGGTCCTTCTACCTCTAGCCACAGTGCTCCTCATTAGCTTCCGTCCTTGTCAAAGAAGTTGACATTGTGCTGTCGTTGTTTATTCTGCTTCACCACTGCAGTTTCCTCTCCTTGAGATGCTGAGCCTCATTATGATTCTGCGTTTTCTTGGGCTGCAACCCCCTGAGTTCAAGTTTCGGGTCCCAGGCTCTTACCTGTTGTGCCTGTGTATGCTGAGGTCTTTCTGGTCTGGAAGGTGTTCAGACCAGTCCTCTAGGGGAATGGTCATGGGGTGGTGACCTGATGTGAGACTTCATGGAAACAGCATCAGGCAAGCAGGTAGTGGCTACTCTCATGTTCTCTAGGAATTTGCTGTTTGAAATGCTGTCTGGCTCAGAAGTTGCATCAGTATATTTTAGAGCCTTTGATGAATTTTTTTCTCTGCCTGTGACTTGCTGATTTTTAAACCCCATGGTGCCTTTGGTCCTTACGATGTCTTGTGGATGCACACAAGAACTGTGTTTAAATTCCTAAAGTATTTTCTTCTGTGTTTTAAGCCCACCTATGTCTTTCTTTCTGGTCTCCTACTTCAGTTTCTGCAAGACATAGCAAATAAAACAGCGCTACTACAGTACATGTGCCCCCAGGGGGAATCCTTTTCCCTACCTCTGTACCCTGCTTCTCTATCTTTTCTGCTTTTTTTTCTGCTTTTACTGTATTTTTGCCAGTACTTCCTTCGTGCCCTAGCCTGCCTCAGAGCCCTGACCACACACACTCTTGCCACTTTCTCTCCTCTGAGTTGCTGCTCAGAAGCCTTTTGACAGGCAAGGAAAGACTGAAAGCAGCACAGCAGCTCTCCCACCTGCAGCAGCAAAGTGGCAGCAGAGACAGGCCCGCCAGAGAGGCCTCTTTGCCAGAGCAGACTGGCAGCTTCTCTGCTTCATGGTCCCTTGCTTATGTAGGAAAGTGTTCCTTTGCACCCGCAAGGGAGAAGAGAAACTCTTCTGCCACTGCTATGTTGAGTATAGTAAAGCATTGTCTAATATTTTTTGATGTTTTCTAGATGCATAGTTTGATAAATGTAAAATTTTAAAATTCTGTACCTGTCCACGACTTTCGCAAGAGTTGTAGGTGCAGAGATTCCCTGAAAAATCTAATGCCAGGTGGCTTGGGTTTTTTCTGAAGTGTTTCCATTGCTCGGTCTCATTTCTGAAGCAGAAGTGACACCTAGTGTTGAGCCGAGGGCAGGTCCATGTCTGTCACACGCGCTTGGATGAGGACACTAAGGGGTTTAGGAGCACAGCTTGCTAATTAAACGCAAAAGGAACAAAATGTGGTATGAATTTTCTAAAGGTGCAGCTGTAGACGCAAAACGTGGTGCTGGGAAGCTAAGACCTTTTGAGGGTCTGTGATGTCTTCCTCTGGCTTCTCTCCACTGCTGAGCATGGGTCTTTGTGGAGTCCAGCTTAGCAACTTTTCCCTGGAAAACCATTTGTACGTTTAAAAAACCCCAAAACCAACCCAGCTGAGTTTCTGACATTTTGAACTAGCAGCTATTCGCAACCTGTTGCCTTTTCCCTCATTTGGGAAGAGGAGACTTGGGAATGGAAATAATAGTTAGAAAAGATCTTCATTCTTCTTACTGATGTCTGTGTGTTGCCAATTGGGCCTTAAAATGCTTTTGTCAGTCTGTATTTGCTGTGCCTCTCTTTCCAGCACAATTTCTTTGCACCTTACTCCCAGTGCTGTGACTGAACATGCAGCACTCATCGAATAGGATTCTATCATCTCTCTTTTTGCTGAAAAAGTGATGTTCAGTTTGCTGTACTGAAGAGTAGCAATTGGGAAGTGAAGCAAACAGAGGAAAGCAAAAAAAGGGGAGTTTGTGTGACATACATGCTAGGCAAAAAAAGGGCCTTTTATTTTTTGTCCCCTGAAGAATTTAGTAGTGAATGAATTTATTACCATGTAGGCTGTTCATAGTTTTGGATTTGTGGTCCAGTGGCCACATGTTGCTTTTTGGGGGCTGTTTTGAGAAACAGAAGTTGAAGAGTGAAAAGTGGAAAGAAACATTATTTTTGTGATGAAGAATTACATTATTAGCACTATCAACTGCTAAGTGAATAAAACTCTGTCCAACCACAAAACCCACTCCAAAATAAAGGAGCCAGTATTCTGCTTCCTTGAGTCCAAAACTACCAGACAAAAATAGCAAACAGAAATTGGGAAGGTATACTTCATGTATGATTTTATTGGTTTTTTCAATCCTCTTGTTTTAAAGTAAGGAGTAAAAGCAGATGAGTGCTGAGATACAAACTAAGGTATCCACAGTGATAGAGCAGGATAGGATCTGGTGGGTGAAGGAGTTTGTTGTTAATTAGATTTTTCTACCATTTTACCTTTTCCAGCTCTGTGAAGTGGATGCATATGTGACATCCACAGCTTTAAGTGTTTTATCACCCTGCAATCTAATAGTAAATAGTCTTGAAAGAAAGAAAGAAAACCCCCAAGAAAACCAGTTCTATGAAAAAATATGAAAATATTTTAGTCTTTATTCTTCCTTGGTGGAGAGCTTTTTGAATGACTGCACATTTTCAAAGAATCTGTGTGTCATTGTTCATCTTGCTCCTTCTGTTGCTTTTCATCTGCTGAGGACAATTGAGGACGAGGGGTTTATCCTCCTTCTCTTACCTTTTCACTTTTATCACACACTTTCTTTTTCAGATTTTTAGATACTGCTGTTTCTGCAGGAGGGAGACAAGGGGAATTTTGGGAAACATCGTTTCCCATAAATTTGCTCCACCCGAGGTGTTGTGTCCAGCTCTGGGGACCTCAGCACAAGTCTCAGGACCAGCTGGAATGAGTTCGGAGGAGAGACATGTGGATGTTCAGAGGGCCAGAGCACCTCTCCTGTGAGGAAAGGTTGAGAGGGTTGTGATTGTTCAGCCTGGAGGAGGCTTTGGGGTGAGCTTATTGTGGCCTTCTAGCACCCAAAGGGGCTAAAAGGGAGCTGGAGAGGGACTTTTCGACAAGGGCACACAGTGGGAGGACAAGGGGGAATGACTTCAAGCTGAAAGAGGGCAGGTTTAGATTAAATATTAGGAACAATTCTTTACCGTGAGGGTAGTACGGCACAGGAACAGATTGCCCAGAGGAGTTGGGAATTCCCTATCCCTGGAATAGTTCAAGGCCAGGCTGGATGGGACTTTGAGCACTGGTGTAGTGCAAGGTGTCCCTGCCCATGCCAGGGGACTTGGAATGATCTTTAAGGTCCATTTCAACCCAAACAATTCTGTGATCCATAAGGAATGAAAGCAAACAAACCCAACCCACAAAGAAAACTCCATAAATATTTCCAGTATCCACCCCTCAACCCCACCTGTGGTGTTCTGCTTTGTTCAGTGACTTACTTCCTTGTGCATAAAGCACCATGTAGGTGAGATTAATGACACTGAGATCCATTTATTTTTCAATCCAGTAACAGTAGGACAGATGGTCAATGAAAACCAGGAATTAATTTTTTTCTGTGAGCCTGGGAATATTTGTACAGCAATCCTTTACCATGATTTTGTAGTAACACAAAGAACATGGTAAATGATTCCATCACATATCATTCCATCATACATCGCCTTTTGATTTTCCTTGAAGCCATGAAAAGCCCCACTGCTGGTTTTGATGCTTTGCAGGGAGAACATGGATGACTTAGGAGATCACTGTTGGCTCACTCTGTACTATAGTTGAGATGCACTCAGACTCGGTCTTTGTGATGCCTTCGTGGCACCCATACATTTGGTCAAAGGTGCTTTCTGAGTCTGCAGGTGCTGAGAAAGACGGGAATGTTTAGTTCATGATTAATTATGTAATTACTCTTTTTTTTTTCAGAAACACAGCTAAATAATTTAATGAATAAAACATATTAGCAAGCTGAGAAGAATGAATGTCGTTCAATGGCAGTGTAAATCCATCCTACTCTAGGCTGTTTAAGTCCTTCTATCAAGCATTCCTCACATTGGTGTGCTCATTCTTCCTCCCTTCTCTTTACCAGGCAATGGACACAATGGCTCAGGAGTGGAATGGGGTTTTTTTTCCGCTTTCCAGCAGCACTGAACTATGGGCTGAGGTCACTGCAAAAACACGTCCTAAAGGTGTGATTTGCCTGTTCCTAAAAGGGACTTCTCATCTAGCTGTTGTTATAAAGTGAGGGCCTGTTTCTCTTCAAAACGCCAATATTTCAATTTACAAATTTCAATTTCTCTGCTTCTAGCCTCTGCTGAGCAGCAAAACAATGGACCACATGGAAAAAACCCCAAAGCCTCAAGTATTTTTATGCTGGCTTCATTTTGTGATCTGGCACACTGTGGGCTCAGCCAAGCACCAGTGAAAGAGATACAGCATGAGGATTTAGCTGGATCTGGTGTACAGGCTGCTTCTTTTGCAAGGATGAACTATCTCCCTTCCCAGCTTTCCATCTTCTCCATTTACTTCCTTCCTGGCAGAGCTGGAGTGCCTCAAGTGAACTAATGAAGATTCTATTGCTTTCTTCTACTGCAGAACAGCTTTCTGGCATGCTAGCCAAGGAACCTGTCTGAAAATATATTACAGAGTGAACCTGCAAGGAGAAAAAAAGAAAAAAAACCCTACTGCAGCTCTGCCAGAGCCTCCTGGCCCTGCTTTAGCAGCTCTGCCTCCCTGTAGATGCTCAAATGGCTATGTAGGTAAGAAGGAGGAAGAGAATTTAAAAAAACCCTACCTAAATGCCACCTCTGTCAAGTGGACATCTCTCAAAAAAACCCTTTGAAAAATTAACATTGTTTATTGAATTTCCTTCACAGATAAAGAAAATGTATACTGCAACAGGCAGAAAAATTCTACAGCTTGCGTGTTACAAAGTACTTTGATATGTTTTTATTACTGTAATTCATCTGCTCCTGGGGGAGAAGGACAAACAAGAACCAAAGTTCTAAGGTTTTATCAAGGGCTTATGCTTCAATGGACTTTTGATCCAAAGCAATAACACGACTGGTTGTAGAAAGATCGAAATTTAAATAAAATAGTTAATGATTTTCGTTCACTTATTGACCATTTCTCAGTTCTGTTGACATAAGGCTTCTGAGCAAGGTATAAATGCAGGGAGGTGAGATGCCCTTCACAAACAGCAGCCCTGCACTGCAGGAATTGCCCTCAGCTCTCCCCAGCCCTGCAGCTGACATCAAGGTAAGAGGCACACTTTGCACAGGAGACCTGGAAGGGTTTCTGGGACAGCTGCTGTGAAATGCAGGGGAAGGGAAGGAGGCTTCAGTGTTGGGCATCTGCAGAGACTGAACCCATCCTTCAGGGCATGAGGAGGTGGCTGCTGCAGGACAAACCAACCCAAAAAGGGAGAGGGTGGAGGGGGTCAGTGATACACAATTCTCAGAGCTGAAAGTGAAAATATTGTATGAATTTATCTTGATCATGGGATCTTTATGTTGTATAAGCAAAATTAAATGGTCATCATTAATAGTTTTTCTACAGGTATAAAGTAATTATAATAGTGCTTAATCAGTCAGTGAGTCTGAGTTCAGGTCTCGTCAGCTTCCATATATGCTCTTATAACTGTGAAAAAATACATGTTTTTAATTACATAAAGGTTTTTTTCCTAAAAAAAGTGAGGTTTTAAATAATACAGGCTTTTAAATTATGATGCACATGTCTTGCAGTACTACTATGGCTTTTAATCTTACTGGGCATGTCTGTCTTTTCCCATCCCTTCTCAGAATCAGCTAGAGGAATGGCTTTTTTGGTCCCATTTATTTGCCCTGAAATATAAATCTTTGCTTCAGTAACTGTTACATGATTTAGAGGGAGCTGTTATCATAACTGACTGCTCATTACTATTCCTGCAGCTATTACGAATAAACATTGTGGCTTTTTAACTGAACTCAGACATATGTGGCTAATTAGATATGTATATTTGTAGTAGTGTTAAGAAAATACATTTAAAACCTGAAATTTAGCCTGATTTAAAGAGCTAATGCTCACAACTTGATTGCTTCTCAGTGTATGTCAAAAGAAGGAATCTCTTGATTTCAGTAAAATTCCATATAAAAAGAGAAATAAGGTGTTTCCGTGAATTTAAAGTTCATTTCTGCCCTTATTTTTAAGTTAAAAATTCACTTTCTTTTAGAAATTAATTGCATGTCTCACTATTTTTATATTGCATTCTGTGTGGCTCATCAAACCTACTCCAAACAATGAGTGCCAGTTTCAAAAATATTTCTCAACCGCAGCATCCATTATCAACGGAAAGATTTATCACTAGTTGTATATTTCATTTTGTTATCGTTTAGGATATACTAATAAGATATTAAACAAAATGCTCAGGTATCCTGTGCTCACATGTATACGTAATAAATGAAACTGGACTGCTGTTGTGTACAAATCTCATTTTACTTTTTTCCTCCAAACTGAAATTTCTATGTCATGTCGTCACTCTTCCACAGCTGCTGCTATTTTTAACTTATACTAAAATTGTTTTACATTCCCTTTTTACCTTTCGTCCCTTCTGGTTTCCAGCATTTCATGTCTGGTGTGTAAAGGCCTCTTACAAGAATTGCTTGTTTTCGTTTTCTGTAGGCTGCCATCCAACTCCTACAGCAGAAAATCCAAACCCCAGAAGCCCTGCTGAGATGGGAAAAATCATCGTTTATGAGCATGCTAACTTCCAGGGTATGTCCAAAGAATTCCACACCAACATTGCCAACCTAAAAGATGCGGATTGGAATGATTGTATCTCCTCAGTGAGAGTAATTGGCCAGCCTTGGGTGGCTTATCAGCACGCAGACTATAAAGGACAGTTACTGGTATTTGAGGAGGGAGATCACGACTTTGTTGGTAAAAAGATGAATGATAGGATCAGCTCTCTGCGGGTGATCACTGAAGATCTGCACCACCCCCAGATCACTCTCTACCAACATGCTGATTATCAAGGGAGGAGCAGAGTAATAAGAGAAGCAACCAATCTGACTAGGGGACATGACAATGACAGCACATCTTCACACAAAGTCCAGAAAGGTGTCTGGCTGCTGTGTGAACACGGTGATGGAAGTGGAATTCAATACATTGCCCGAGAACATGAGCACCTTCCAAATTACAAGGCAATCAATTTCAATGACAAGCTTTCCTTCCTGCGTCCCCTTCGCCCTGGCTCTGGCTGTGGCTGTTAGAACGCAAATCCTCCAAAGCTGAGAAGAGATGCTGCCCCAGCAAGAAATTTGAGACCTTGTTCTCTGCCTCTGCTTGTGTCCCTTTCCCCCAGCATCACAGGACCACCGAACGAACGTGAGAGCTCTCCTGCCCCACAAACGGCCTCTGCCATTGTCTGTAATCCATTTTGTGTTGATGCCAATAAAGAATATTTTGCAATCAGCAGTGAGTTTATTTTATGCACTCTTTAGGGTAGGTAAACATTTCACTTTCATGGAAAGATGTCTCTGTGTAACCAGAGAATTTTTTGTGCAGTCACTTGCTAACATTGTTCACGGATCTCTCCTGTAGAATTTTATCTCCTTCTAGTTTCACTGGTCAGAAACATTGCAACCTTCATAAGCATTTTGATTATTGCTGTGTTGCTGGGCCAACTCTCACCTCTATTTAACTACCCCCTGAATTATTGTATCTGGAGGTATTGATCATAGAATCCTAGAATCCTATGAAGTCTGAGGTTGGGAAGTGCCTCATTCCAACCCTCCTGCTAGGGTCAGTGACATCTTCCATTAGACCAGGTTGCTCAAAGTCCCATCCAACCTGGCCTTGAATACTTCCAGGGGCAGGAAATCCACAACCTCTCTAAACAACCTGTTTTAGTGCTTCATCATCTTCACAGTAAAGAACTTTTTCATAGCATCTAATCTAAGTCTCTGCTCTTTTAATTCAAAATCATTCCATCCTCATCCTATTACTAGTTGCCCACTTAAAAATCTGCTCCTGCTCTTTCCTATAAGCCCCCTTTAAGAACTAGAAGGCTGCAATGAGGTCTCCCTGGAGCCTATTCTTCTCTGGGATGACCTACCCCAGATTTCTCAACCTCTATCTTCATTGGAGAGGTGCTCCCATCCCATGACCCTCTCCCAGTCTGTGCTCATGTCTGGGATTGCTCTGACCCAAGTGCAGCACCTTGCACTTGGGCTTGTTGAACTTCATGAGGTAAATATGGAATCACTTCTCAAGTTTGTCCAGGTCCCTCTGAATGGAATCCCATCCTTTTGTTGGGCCAGCTGCACCCCTCAGCTTTGTGTCATCCGCAAACTTGCTGAGGGTGTCATTGATAACGATCTTAAAAAGACTGGTCCCTTTCCAGAACAGAGTCCTGATGGACACCAGTTATCACTGGTCTTCTTCTGGACATAGAGCCACTAACCACAGCTCTCTGTGTGGCAATTCCTCAGTTAGCTCCACCCTTCAAACTCATGCATCTCAGTTTGGAGATAAGGATGCCACATGAGACCATGTCAAAGTTCTTAATGAAGTCGAGGTATGTGAGTGGCATTGGTTGGTTTCCCCTTGTTGATGGCTGCAACCCCTCCATTACAGATGGCCACCAGATTGGTCAGGCATAATCTGCCCTTAGTAAAGTCATGCTGGCTGTCTTGGATCATCTTGTCTTGTGTGCACCTTAGAATTGCTTCCATGGGGATCTGCTCCATGATTTGCACAGGCACAGAGGTGAGGCTCTCTAGTTCCTTAGATCTTCCTTTCTCCCCCTTTTAAAAATAAGAGTGATATTTCCTTTCTTCCATTCACCAAAGATTTCACTTGAAGGCCATGACTTCTCAAATATGATGGAGGGTGGTTTGGCAACAGCACCAGCCAGCTCCCTCAGGACCCTGGGATGCATGTCATCCAGTCCCATAGATTCGTGTCTACTCAGCTTCATCAAGTGGTCTCAAACCTACTCTTCACCTACAGCAGGAGGGACTTCACTCCCCCAGTCACCACCTGCAGCTTCAGCAACTCCAGAGACACAGGAAACCTGACTTCCAATGAAGACTGAGGCAAGGAACATATTGAGCACCCCAGCCTTCTCCACATCCATTGCCACCAGTTCTTCCTGCTTGTTTATTGGTGGGGAGTGGGAGTTACTCTACTTGGCCTTTATTTTCTGCCCAGTGTTCTTGCAGAAGCCCTGGTGTGTCAGTCCACACAGGCAGGCAACTGGGACAACTACAAGTTTGTGGCTAGAACACAAAGAGTAAAATTATTTCCATTTCCATTGGCTTATGAGCACCCAAACCATACAGACTAGTTACTCTGGTGCTTGAGGAGGGGGAACACAGCTTTGTTGGTGAAAGATGAAGAATAGGACCAGCTCTCTCCAGCAGATTGCTGAAAATCTGCACAATCCACACATGAAGCCCAGAACATGCTGTACTATCAACTGCTGGGCTTTGTCCCACTTGGGAATAGACACTGCAGGCTGTGCTGATGTGTCAGCCACTCGTGCTCCTCTGCTTGGCTCAGATGGGCAGATGCAATGGGGATAGCTCAGAATCCATATGCTTTGGGGTACTTCTTAATGCTTTGCAGCCAGTTTCAGGTTTCCTTGCTCGGTTCACCAAAATGGGATTTCCAAATGCAATTCCAAGAGCATCTGGCATTCTCCCTACTCTAGAACATGTGTTTTATAGTGGCAAGTCAACTGGCAAATGTCACCTTCTGCCCAAAATAGTTTGTGGAAGAAATTATTTTGGAAGTCTTATTGAAGTGCCTTTGTCATGGCTGAGAGATCCCTTTCAGAATCTCAGCATGATAACTGACGTTAAATAGGCACTGTTAATAGGCGAGAGGTTATTTTGTATGTCTCTAATTATATTTCCTAGGAAATCCACTTAATGACATTTCCTTTTTGAAAACCACCATTTCTTAGAGAGGAAAGAAGTTATTCTCTTACTTTCTTGGCATATGTAACAGAGAAGTTCCTTACAGCCAGGAGGTCTCTGTCTGAATTTTCCCTCTGTTTCTCTTGGGCAAAGAAAATATTACATTACCTCCCAAAGCTGCTGTTACTCTGATTTTAATCAGTTGACATTCCTG